CACACAAATGAATACACGCAAATAAAAATATCCCCCATATTTTCCTATATCTTCTGGGTTTTTGTCTTCCCCCCACTTCCCATATTTTCCTGGGAATCGCCGATTAATTGTGTCTGTGTGTTTTTTCCTCTCCTGGCTTGGGACGCCCCTGGGCCAGGAGGAGACGACCGGGGACAGGGAGATGCTCCGTTCTCAGAAGCCGCAGGGCGGCGCCCTGGCTCGCCGCGGCAAGGGGGCGGCAGCAGGTGGCGGCAGGCCGCGGCGGCAGGCCTCCGGCGATCTTCGGCGGCGAGCCTACGCCTACGGGGGGATGCGAGGAGGGGCGGGCCCTCTCAGAAGGCTCGGGGGTCCCCCGGCCTTCGGCGAGATTGCCCAAGCCATCCGCGAAGAGGCCGGCAACTTCCCAGAAGGCCAGAAAGTTTCGGAGAAGTCCCGCCGCCCTCTGGAGAGTCCTCCTCCTTCTCACGTCCCTCCGTCGCTCGCCGCCGACTTGTGCGCGTGTTGCCTTTCCACGGCGGCGCCCGCTTTGCACGTTTGCCACGCACGCGCCGCCCACCACCCCTGGATTTGCTTGTGCTGTCCACCACCCATGTACGCCACCGTGTGTTGGCCGGTTGGTTTTGCGTTTTGCCTCGAAAGCGAGCTGTTTTCGCGCTACTTGCACCTGCGCGGCGTTGTGCCGTGTTCGTTGCTTTCGGCGGCGGCGCCTGTCTCGCATGTGCCTGCCTCGCGCCGCCGCATGCGGGGTGGTGTGGCAGCCTTACAATGATTTGTTTGTTGGCTACTAGCACCAGACTGCTGCCGCGCTTTAACTCCTGGCGTCGAGCAACGCTCCGCGGGATGCTTGGCCGCTGCACTCCACTGGCTTATTCGCATCAGACTGCTGCCCGCGCTTCAACTCTTGGCGTTGAGCTACGCTCCGCGGGATGCTTCGCCGCTGCACTTTGGCTTTGCAGTGCCTCATCGTCCACCACCAATCTGCATGGCCGCGGCTGGATCCTTTCATCACGGCGCGTCCGACTAAAACCGCTCGAAATTTGTACCTCCATCTGCCGACCGCTGCCGAAGTGAGGTTCCTCTGCGCCGCCGATTTGAAATGTGTGTGTGCGCATGTGTTTCGATGCCGGAATCGTTCCTCGGTTTGGGCTTCGGGTTCCCCGGAACAGTCGAAAACGATCCGCGACGAAAAAAACTGTCAACGGCAAGGGGCCGTTAGGTCCAGGGGCCACGCATCGAACATACCAGGTCGGAGGTCATAGGAAGATAACGGGGGAGGCAGGACGACGGCGCATGTTGTTCGACTCTCTTCGCTTGTTTCTTCTGTTGCGCTAACCTGAAGGGGCCCAGGGACACACAAATCCATAGACACAAATACAAGGACTCCCCATCCTTTCTTATATGTTCTGGGTGTTCGTCTTCCCCTCTCACCTCCATATTTTCTCACATTTTCCTGGGAGTCGACGATGGATTGTGTCTGTGTGTCTCTGTCCCTCCTGATACCCTCCGTGCGAGGCCCGAGCGGCCACGGCTGGATCCGCCTCGGAATCCTGCTCGGGATGCGTCTCAGGACGGACCCCCGGGGCCGCTCTCGAGGGCGGGAAAGGTGAGGAGGGAGAGGACGGAGAGGAAAGCGTGAGGATGGAGGGGGGAAGCGTGAGAGATGAGAAATGAGGATGGAGGGAGAGGATGGAGAGGAAGGAGTGAGGAAGAAGACGGAGAGGAAGGAGGGGGAGAAGAAAGGAGGAAGAGGAAGGAATGAGGATAGAGGAAGAAGAGGACAAGGAGGAGGATAATCACCTCATCTGCCTGGCCAGTCGGACAGAGGTCGGGGCCGGCAGAAGGCAACCGCGCACAGTCGCAGAACCAAGTGTTATTTTCGTTACGAGAAAAAGAACGAAAAGAGCGTTCCGCGGCCAAGGGCTCGAGGAGGGTGATCCAGCAAAAGACCATGTACGTGCGCACATATCCTCTCCTTCTCCTCCTCCTCCTCCTCCTCTTCCTCCTCCTCTTCCTCCTCCTCCTCCTCCTCCTTCTCTCCTCCTCCTTCTCCTTCTCCTCTCCTCCTCCACCTCCTCTTCCTCCTCCTCCTCCTTCTCCTCTTCCTCCTCCTCGGTCCTGGACCCTCCTCTTCCTCCTCTTCCTCCTCCTCCTCTTCCTCCTCTTCCTCCTCTTCCTCCTCCTCCTCCTCCTGACGAAGGGCGTTCCGCGACCAGGGGCTCTGAGAGGGAGGGCCAGCAGAAGACCACGCCCGTGTGCACACCTCCTCTTGCCTGGCTCGGACTGCGGCACGACCTCCATCCCGATCGGGATCTGGACACCCGAGGGTCGCGCCCAGAATTGCAGAATTGCAATCTGAGCCCGTTTCCGCGCTCCCAGGCGCAGGCGCGCTCAGAATTGCAATTTGAGCCCGTTTTCGCGCTCCTCCGCGCAGTCGCGCCCAGAATTGCAATCTGAGCTCGTCTTCGCGCTCCCCGACGCAGGCGCGCCCACGACCCTCCGTCGATGGCACGAAACACTCCTCAAAGCCATGGTCAGTAGCTGGGCCCCCCCCCCGAACTCGAGGCTACTTCAGCGGCGGCGGCGCATCTGTCGCCAGCGCGCGCGCCAGGCGCCGGCTCTGATAGAATGCTATCAGGGCTGCTCGCTCCAGCTCCTTTGCAATCCTACTCGGGTCCCACCTTGCTCTACCTTACTCTACTCGACCCTGTCTACTCTCCTCTCCTCTACTCTACCCGGCTCTACCCTACTCTACTCTGCCCTACCGTACCCTCACATACTCTACTCCACTCTATTTCAACACGCTCCTCTCATACTCCTATTATGCTCCTCCTTTGCTCTACTCTGCGCTGCTCTGCTCAGCTCTACTTTGCTTGTTTCTGCGACTCAACCCACCTGCTGTAGTACAGTCGGCTCTAATTTACTCTAGTCTGATCTGCATTTCTTTACTCTACTCGACCCCATTATACTCAATCCCACCGTAACCCACCGTACTCGACATTACTCGACCTACTCTACTCTACTCTACTCTACGCTACGCTACGCTATGCTACGCTACTATACTCCTCGTATGTTCTTCTCTACGCCTGCTCTACTCTGCTCGTTTTCGTCGTCTTCGTCGTCTACGTCGTCTTCGTCGTCGTCATTGTCGTCGTCGTGGGGGTCGTCGGCGTCGTCGTGGTAGTCATCGTAGTCATCGTCGTCTTCGTCGTCGCCGTCGTCGTCGTCGTCATCCTCGTCGTCGTCGTCGTGGTCGGCGTCGTCGTCAGCGTCGGCGTCGGCGTCGTCGTCGTGCGTCGAGTGTCGTGCGTCGTGCGTCGTCGTCCGCGTCGTTTGCGGACGGCGGCGGCATCGTCTTCGTCGTCGTCGTTGTTGCCAGGGGGTCTGGCCTCCCCCCCCTCGAATAATTTTCCTAAGGGGGGGAGGATTCAGGAAGACCCCTCCTGGTATTAGGGAAGGGGAACCCCCCTGCCAGCAGCGGCAGAAAACGCACTCTCGTACATCCTGATTCATACGGATACAACGTGATTGCTCTCTTACACACACAGACGTTTCAAGATGTCGTGCACACGCGAATTTCAATCCGGGAGTTCTGTGTCGCACGAAACAGATGGCAGCGGCTGGGTGGCGAGGGCGGGGTGGTGCCGCGGGGCAGTGCGGAAATGAACGACTGCTGTTCATTTATCGAGCCCTGAGTGAAGCCCTGCGTGACACACACTGAGAGAGCACATATCTTGTTCATCCGCAGGGTTGGATCAACAGCTGGTCAAAAACACGCGGGCCGCGCGAGCTGCATTGTACTGAAGCGTACGTCGAACGCCGTCCAGCCAAAGACGTGGATTCCTGGGTAGGGTGCAGGCTGAGGCGAGCAGCGCGAAACGAATACTGCTGACATGCAGCAGGCAACATTCAACTGAGCAACAAACAAGCACACACAGGCACACGCACACGCGCGTGGGCAATTTGCACTCTCACACGCTCACGCCCGCACTCTCACACGCACACTTCCCCCCCTGGCAGTCTCGGCGCGGGGCGGGCCAGTGGCCGTCGGAAGAGAAGGAGAGAGCGAGCCCAGGGCGGAGCGCAGCAGGAGGAGGAAGACAGTGGGGGGAGGACGAGAAGGATCCCCCCCAGCGCGCTCTCCTCTCGTCCCCTTGGGCTCTGCTGCCGGCGCCGTCTCGAGACTGTCGGCACACGAAATCGTGGGCGAGGGCCCTGGCCGTGGTCGTGCTCGTCGACGTCGTTCCCCGTGGCTGTCGCCGGCCGTCCTCGTCGCCGGCCGTCGCCGCCGCCGCCGCCGCCGCCCCAGGAGGAGGAGGAGGAGGAGGAGGAGGAGGAGGAGGAGGAGGAGGGAGGAGGAGGAGGAGGAGGAGAAGGAGGAGGAGGAGGAGGAGGAGGAGGGGAGGAGCAGGAGGAGGAGAGGAGGAGGAGGAGGAGGAGGAGGAGGAGGAGGAGGAGGAGGAGGGGGGCGCCGAGGCCGCCGCCTCTCCAGCGCCGCGCGCAGCTCCCCCTGCGCCCGCCCGAGCTCCGCGCCGCGCTCGGCGCCCGCGGCCGCGGCGGCCCGGGCGGCCGCCAGCTGCGCCTCCGCCCGCGCCGCCGCCTCTGCGGCGCGCTCCCCGGCGGCCTGGAGCTCGCTCGCCGCCGCGTCCGCGGCGGCCTGCGGCAGGGGTGGGCGTCACGGGGCCCCGGGGGGCTCCGGGAGGGGCGTCGGGGGCCTCGGAGGGCTTCGGGAGGGGCGTCGGGGGGGGGGCTGCGGGCGCGGGGGCTTCGGAGGGCCGCGCGGGGGCTTCGGAGGGGCTCGGCCACCCGACTGGCCAGGGGGCCTAGGGCCGGCGAAGCAGGCCCCCTGGACGCCAAGGAGAGAGAGAGAGAGAGAGAGAGAAACAAATAAAAAGTCTAGAGGTCAGCTGGCCGTGGGCCTGCAGCTCGGCTCGCGCCCGAGACGCGGCGTCGGCCATGTCCTGCTCCGTGGCCCGCAGGAGGCGGCGAAGGTCCTCCGCCTCCGCCTTGGAGCCTTTGGCCTCCAGGCGGGCCTCCCCCAGCTGGCCCTCCAGGGCCTGCAGGGCGGCAGCCGCCTGCTGCCGCGCGCCGCTGAGCTCTGCCTCCAGCCTCGCGGCGCTGGCCTGGTCCTGCTCCGCGGCATGCCGCGCGGCCTGCTCCTCCAGGGCCCGCACCTCCTCGGCGTGCGCCTCGCGGGCATGCCTCAGCGTGCGCTCGGCCGCCTCCTCCATCGAGCGCCTCTCGCTGGAGTGCGTGTCCTCCAGGCTCACCGTGGCCGCCCGGGCCTGCTCCAGCTGCGCCCCGAGGCTCTTCAGCTGCACCTCGAGCGCTTCGACCTGGGCCGCGAGCTGGTTGCCGCGGTCGGCGTCCTGCGCGCGGCGCTCCGCGCCAGCCTCCCGGTCGTTGGCCTCCTTTCGCAGCTCCTCCACGAGGGCCCGGCGCTGAACTTCCGCCTCCGCCAGCTCTCGGTCGGAGCTCTGCCGCAGCTGCTGGAGCTCGACGCGCAGGCTCGCCACCTCCGCCTCCGCGTCCTTACTGGTCTCCTGGAGGGCCTGGCGCTCAGTCTCCGCCTCCGCCAGCTGCTGCTCAGAGCTCTGCCGCTCAGTCTCCGCCTCCGCCAGCTGCTGCTCAAAGCTCTGCCGCAGCTGCTGCATCTCGAGACGCAGGCTCGCCACCTCCGCCTCCGCGTCCTTGCTGGCGTCCTGCCGGGCCTGGCGCTCAGTATCCGCCTCCGCCAGCTGCTGCTCAGAGCTTAGACGTAGCTGCTGCATCTCGAGACGCAGCCTCGCCACCTCCGCCTCCGCCTCCTTGCTGGCCTCCTGGAGGGCCTGGCGCTGAGTCTCCGCCTCCGCCAGCTGCTGCTCAGAGCTTTGCCGCAGCTGCTGGAGCTCGACGCGCAGGCTCGCCACCTCGGACTCCGCCTTCTTGCTGGCCTCCTGGAGGGCCTGACGCTGAGCCTCCGTCTCCGCCAGCTGCTGCTCAGAGCTCTGCCGCAGCTGCTGCATCTCGAAACGCAGGCTCGCCACCTCGGACTCCGCCTCACCGCTGGCCTCCTGCCGGGCCTGGCGCTGAGCCCCTGCCTCCGCCAGCTGCTGCTCAGAGCTCTGCCGCAGCTGCTGGAGCTCGACGCGCAGGTTCGTCACCTCCGCCTCCGCGTCCTTGCTGGCCTCCTGGAGTGCCTGGCGCTGAGTCTCCGCCTCCGCCAGCTGCTGCTCAGAGCTCTGCCGCAGCTGCTGCATCTCGAGACGCAGGCTCGCCACCTCCACCTCCGCGTCCTTGCTGGCGTCCTGCCGGGCCTGGATCTGAGCCTCCGCCTCCACGCGCTGCTGCTCGGAGCTCTGCCGCAACTGCTGAATCTCAAGACGCAGGCTCGCCACCTCGGACTCCGCCTCACCGCTGGCCTCATGCTTCGCCTGGCGCTGAGCCTCCGCCTCTGCGAGCTGCTGGCCGGAGCTATGCCGCAACTCCTGGAGCTCGACGCGCAGGCTCGCCACCTCCGCCTCCGCGTCCTTGCTGGCCTCCTGGAGGGCCTGGCGCTGAGCTTCCGCCTTCGCCAGCTGCTGCTCAGAGCTCTGCCGCAGCTGCTGGAGCTCGACGCGCAAGCTCGCCACCTCCGCCTCCGCGTCCTTGCTGGCCTCCTGGAGTGCCTGGCGCTGAGTCTCCGCCTCCGCCATCTGCTGCTCTGAGCTCTGCCGCAGCTGCTGCAACTCGAGACTCAAGCTCGCCAACTCCTCCCCAGACCTCCGATGTCTCGTCTATTGCTTTGATCACTTGGCCCCCAGACCGCTCGATCCTGGCTGCTTGTCCTGAGCCGCTCTCCGATTGCCTCAGAGCGCAGAAGTGGCCCCCGGGGCACCGAAAGACGACGGAACAAACACGCCCGCCTTCAACTTTCTCTCAAAGACATCCAAAGTCTGGTCGGGGATCGGGGACAACCTGTGGGTCAGCGCTAACCCAGGCCAGCCAGAGCCATGACGCGAAGACGGGGCGGCAACGAAGCAGCTGCCAGCGCAGGGCGCGGAAAGGGTGTCGGCTCCGCGCCGCTCCCAAACCCGGGCCAGCCAGAGTAGAGCAGCTGACCCCGCTCGCCGACCCCCGTTACCTGAGCACCATGGGGAGGTTGGCCCTGACCCTCCTCCCTCCTCCCTCCTCCCTCCTCCCTCCTCCTCCCTCCCTCCTCCCTCCCTCCTCCTCCTCTCCTCCTCCTCCTCCTCCCCTCCTCCTCCTCCTCCTCCTCTACTCCTCCTCCTCCTCCCTCCCTCCCTCCCTCCCTCCCTCCCTCCTCCCTCCCCCTCCCTCCCTCCTCCCTCCTCCCTCCTCCCTCCTCCCTCCTCCCTCCTCCCTCCTCCCTCCCTCCTCCCTCCCTCCTCCCTCCCTCCTCCTCCTCCTCTCCTCCTCCTCTCCTCCTCCTCCTCCTCCTCCTCCTCCTCCTCCTCCTCCTCCTCCTCCTCTTCCCTCCTCCTCCCCCCTCCTCCTCCTCCTCCTCCTCCTCCTCGGTCCTGGACCCTGGGGCCTTCCGCCCGAACGGGATCTTCATCCTGAATCATTCTCTAACAGCCCCGGGGCCCGTGCAGGGCCCCGGAAGGCCCCAAACGGCGGAAAGCCTCAGGACCCGCTTCCCTCGGCACCCGCTGCCCCCACGGCGAGACCTGCGCCCCCACGGCCTCCCCGCGGGCCCCCCCCGCGGCTGGGTGTTGCCCAAGGCGCTCCCCGATCCTCCTCTGCAGCCTCTGGCCCGCGCCCTGCGGCAAGGCGCTCCGCCTGCTCCGCCTCCCCCGGCGCCACGCCCGCCGCGGGCACACCCGTAGCCTGCGTTCCCGGGCCCGCCTCGGCAGCCTCTGCCTCTCGGACTCTGGCAGGGCCCTCCGCCTCCGCCTGCCGGCGGCGTGCACGGGATTGGGGGGAGGGGGGCAAGGCTTCCTAGCAGGAGGCCGCTTCTCAGAAGGGGCGCGGGCCCTACACCTGTAGGTAAGGCCCGCGCCTTCCAAGAAGCAGGGTGCTTCTACGAAGCCTTCCCCCCTCCACCAGATCCCCCTTCTGCGCGTGGCCGAACCTGAGCCGACGAAGAGCAGCGGGTCTTACGCAAAATGGCGTAGCGACATTACGCGGCGGCTTACGCGGACCGCCAGCACGGCACGCTGCATTAGAGACGAGGGCACTTACGCGTGACCTTACGCGAGTCGCTTGCGCGCCAACGTCGGCGCAGACGACCCCCTTGTTTTGCGTCGCTCACCTCTCGGCGCCAGCACGGAAGAGTGACCCTGGGCGAGGAAGAGTGCCTCTGGTGCGAGGCTTTCGGGGGTTACGGCGGGGAGGGGGAGGAGGGGCAATTACAAGCGCGCAGGCCACTGCTGGAAGGGACCCCCTGTCGGCCCGCACCACAGGTCACTCTGGCGAACGGTCGTTCCCCAAACAATCACATGCTTTGGTCTCCTCTGCCGGCCCTTTCCCCAAGAACGAGCTCTTTCCTCCAGAATCATTATTTGACGGTCCGCCGGGGCGGCGATGGCCCGCCCCGTGGCAGCCTCGTCGCCGTCCATCGTGTGGGCTTGGGAGTCGATTTGGCGGTTATGCTGCCGCCGTCGCCCCCCCATCGCCGTCCATCGTCTGGCCATGGGTTGCGGTCTGGCGACTATGCTGCCGCCGTTGCCGACCCGTCGCCGCCTCGTCGCCGCCCATGGTCTGGGCATGGATGGCGATCTGCGGCTATATTGCCGCCGTCGCCGCCCCGTCGCCGCCTCGTCGCCGCCCGTCATCTGGGCCTAGGTGGCGGACTCGCGGCCATGTTGCCGCCCCCTCGCCGCCCCCTCGCCGCCCATCGTCTGGGCATGGGTGGCGGTCTGGCGACTAAAATAAATTGTTAAATCGAGCTGCGCCCGCGCTCTTTCGAATTCTCCATACACCAATAGGTTCTCAAACATCTTCCTTGAACTCGGGCACACGGACCTCTTGCGCCGCATGCCGAAATCATTGGAACGCCCTTGCGCGCGTGCGGGGGCGGGCAAGAGCAACATCGAGTAATTTGGTGCGGGCCGCTCTCGCGCGTCGGCCCCGCGCGCATGTTGAGATCGTCCCACGACTTCCATTACCGACGCGAGGATGCCGTCATCGTCGCCGGCGTGATCCGCATCGGCGCCGTCACCGGCCTTGCCATCGTCATTGCAACCGTCGCTACCAAGAGCACTGCTATCATCATCGTGTTTGCCGTTGTCGATGCTGCCAAGATACCGTGCCCGCCCCTGGCGCCGACTCGCACTGAAGTGCCCGCTAGAAAATGTTCAGGGGTCAGTGCCACCGCGGCCGCGTCGGTCGCGCCAAACTAGCTGGCCGCTGCGCGCGCGAGCATGCGCGGACTAGCGCGGCCGCAAAGACGCACCAGCCAACACCAAGCACTCATCGCAATTACCGCCGCATGGGCTTTGCAAACAAAGTTGCAGGTGGGTGGGTGGGAAGATTGCGCGAGCAGTGGAGCTGACAACTTAAAGTTCAGCAGGTTGGTTAATTGCACGACATAAATTGTACCACGGAGCTTGTATTACATATATTGGCACATATATCGCAACGCATCTGTTGCAACCACTCCACGGAAAGCAGCACAGATGTTGCACAACATAGGTGGCAACACATAGATCGCACGCACTATATCGGTTACACGACGTGTGCTGGCCCACATAAGACGCACCAGGCATACACATATATACATATATATACATATATCACATACATACATACAACAGATACATACATACATACATACATACATACATACATACATACATACAACAGATCGATCGTACCATGTAGATTTCACAACACCTGTTCTACAACATAGACTACTCCACTAATATTGCACCACATCGATTGCACCGCAGTGGTTGCTCCACATCGATTGTATTGCACTACGTTGATTGCTAGACAAGCACATTGTTTGGTGTCCACGCTGGGTAGAAATCATCATTGGTTTCGACATTTGGCCCGCAGGTGGGGGAGGGGGGGGGGGTCTGGGTCTGGGCCATTGCTTAGTCGATCTGCATGCACCAGTCGCGCCAGCCGACTAGGGTGGGGGCGGGCCCTGATCAGTTGCCAGAAGCATCCGCCAAAAGCAGCGAAGATCTGGTCGATGGGGGGGATGCGGGAGCCCACCCCGATCGTCGAAACAATACGTACAAAACTGCCTATAGACCAGCGTGGTGGTGCATTTCTGATGGTCCATGGACCCGCCGCCTTGGAGAAAGGCGGCCTCTCTGGCCCAGGCCGCGACGCGCAAGGCATGGTTACTCCTTCGCGTCCCCGCGGGTGACCTAAGTCGTCCACGCTCGAGATCATGTTTCATTTTTCGGCGAGAACCTGGCTTATCTGGTGGTGGGGGAACGAGGGAGGTGCCAGCCGACAACCAAACTTTTTGGCTTCGGGCAACCCTCCGCATGCCCGCGCGCACCAGTGCTGCGTACCCCTTGCGGCCTTGCGCAACCGACAACTTCACGTTGTCCGGGGAGGGGGAAGGGAGGCAAGCGGGCCCGATAACCTGGGTGATCGCCGGACCCTAAAAAGCAGTCTCCTCGACATGAGCGTCCTGAAGGACACGGGTCCTGGAGGTGTGGGGGAGATTTTTCGGCCTCCTGGGGCCTTCCCTGGGCCCTGGGGCCGTCAGAAGACGGCTCAACAGCGAGACATTGTCCCGGGGGAAAGCCCCCGGGTCTATAGGACCCATCCTCCTCAGAACCCCCACGCCCCCTCCAGGACCCCTCTGCGACTCGTTACCTCAGGCCCCTCGCTCCGGGAATGAGGGGCCTGGGACGAAGGGCCTGGGGCCCTCTCAACGAAGTGCCGAGCTGAGCAGGACCCCTCAGATGCTCGTTGTGGGGACTGTCCTGGAGCCACTCGCTCCACTCATGCGTAGATGCTGCGTCGAACGTCCTTCGGTTTGAGCCGAAAATGAATGGCACTTCTAGCTACAGTCGAACAGATCGGGTAGCTGGATCGGTGGACGCGCCCTCCTGGACTCGGCCAGGGAGGTAGCGGGCTTGGCATGCTTAGCCAGAGCCGGCGCGTGTGTCGGGGACCTCTGCAGAACTATCGCGTGCAGTTCGACTCAGTTTCGACTCAAGCCAACGAGCGTCCGACGCAGCATCGACGCATGACTGGAGCGACTGGACGGGGAAAGGGCCCCGCGGGCTGGCCTGGCGCGGATCGGTGCGTCACAGTGCGTGTGGTCACAGTTGGCGTCCCCTGCGCCTCGGCCGCCCTCCCTCCTCGCGGCCCCGTCCCGTCTGCCGCGTCCTCCGCGGCGGCCTCCTTCCCCTCCCCAGCGACATCCTCCAGAAGGAAACACAGCGGCACGAGCATACCTTCGGAGGCCCGCGCGGATGTCTTGGATCGGCGCTGACCCTCCTGGCAGGGCATCCAGCAACGCCACTGGCGCGCCCCGCGCACCAGGAAGACGGGTCAAGCGCCGATCCAAGAAATCCGCACGGACTTCCAAAGGCTTGAGCTTATGCATCTGCTTTTCTCCTTCGGCCTTGTCAGCCACCCTCGGGGCCGGCGAATCTGACTGCGCTCCGATCACATCTCTGAGGGCCTCCACCTGCACATCTTCCGCCTTGCCCACCTCCCTTCCCGCCTGGCCCGCGGCGTCTTGAGATCCCAGGCCCACGGGCGTCCCGACCATACCGCCCTCGAAGGAAGGACCACTGAGAGAATGGGTCTCGCCGGCCACCAGGCACAGGTCGATTGCATCTGCCCGTCCAGCGGGTGCGGCCTCCTCCGCCCCGTCTTGCGTCTCCAAACCTCGCTGCACTCCAGCCCCTCCCCCGGGCCCCTCCGCCACCTCTGCCCTCTCCGCCTCCTTCGGCGCAGGGCCTGCGCACTCCCGAGCTCCCGGATCCGTGGGCCCGTCCACCGAGCCGTCCTCGCCGCTCGGCCCTGGCACGTCCTCGGCCCCCCTGGCAGTCAGACGCGCGTCGAGCGCATCGCTCCACCCGTCGCCGACCTCCTCCTCCTCCGGGGCCTCGGCTCGCTCCTGTCAGGGCGGGCGAAAGCGGGGGGGATAGAAAAGGGGGGGTTTGAGAATCAGCTCACGTAGCTGATTCTCCCGGCGCCTCCCGGCGCCGGAGGCGGCCATGTGTATCGAGGAACGGGCCCCTCGGTGGGGCCGAAACCAGCTGCATGCTGCAAATTTCGTACCCCCCCCTTTCCCAATCCCCCCCTTTCGTCCGGCCCGATCCTCCTCCCGGGCCTCCGCTCGCTCCTGCGCTCCGACACGGTGCCCCCGGGCCCGCTCGTCCACCTCGGCCTCCTCCGCCTCCACCTGCGGCCAGCCTGAGGCGCCCTGCGCTCCCAGCCCCAGGGGCTCACCGATCCGACTGCCATCGGCGGCTGCACCTTCGGGCTCGTCTGCCTCGCCAGGGATCAGGCAGAGGTCGAGCGCATCTCCCCAGCCGTCGCCCACTTCCTCAGCTGCAGCCCGTTTTTCCCTTTGCCCTTCTTGCGATCCAGCGGTCCCCGGCTCAACCGCGTCCACCTCGACCTCCTCTGCCTTCTCTGCCTTCTCGGCTGACAGATCACTGGGCATGTCGGTCAACACATTCTTGGGGAGTGCACTTGTGGGCTCAGTGCCACCGCCAACTTCCAAACCAACGTCGAGTGCACCGCCCCATCCTGCAGTCATCTTTTCCTCGTCTATCTCCTCAATGGCCTGTGATGCCTGTTGGTTCCCAACGGTCCTGGCCACTGGCGTCTCCACCTCCGCCACAAGCTCTTCGGTACTCTGTTCTACCCGGCCCGCAGCGTCTTGCTCATCTGGATCCAATGGCGTATCGATCGGCCTGCTATCGACGAGAGCATCTGTGAGCAGATCGGCGTCACTGGCAATCAAGCACACATCGAATGCATCACCCCATCCGTCTCCAACCTTCTCCTCAATAGCCTCCTCCGCTGCAACCAGTCCTTGCTGCTCTCCAGCGGTCCTGTCGGCAAGCGCCTCCGTATCCATCTCCTCGTGCCTTCCCGCCCCCTTTTCCACCTGGCCTGTGGCGTCTTGATCGGCCAGATCCGTGGGCAATTCGATCAAACTGTTCCCAGCGAGTGTGCCTGCGTCGCGAAGCGCCTCCGCCTCCCTCTCCTCTTGACTATCCGTCCCCGTTCCCACCTGGCCTGTGGCGTCTTGGAATCCCAGCTCCGTGGGCAACTTGATCAAACTGTCCCTGGCGAGTGCTCCAGGGCGCTCGCAGGTCTCGCCGGCAACCATAGACAGGTCGAACGCATCTCCCCACCCGTCGGCCACATTCTCCTCTTCAGCCTCCATCGGCGCGTGTGAATCTGACTGCGCTCTGGTCCCACCGCTAGGCGCATCCGCCTGCGCATCCATTGCTGCCTGCCTCACCTCCTGTCCTGCCTGGCCCGCGTTACCTTGAGCCATTCGGTCTGTGGGCATATCGGTCAAACTGTTGTGGTTCTTGTTGTTGTTGTTGTCGTTTTGTGTGCTGAGCATCTCGATGAACGCGCTCTGAACGAGTGACGCTGTGGGCTCAGTGCCCTTGTCGGCAGCTGGACCAGGGTCGAGCGCCTCGCCCAAGCCATCAGTCACGGTCTCATCGGCAACCTCTTCTGGAACCTCTGGTGCTTGCTGAAGTCCATCAGTCCTGGCCCCGAACGTCGCCGCCTCCGCCCCTGAGGCGTCTCGCACAGCTGGATCCATGGGCGTATCCATCAGCCTGCTATCGACGAGGGCACCAATGGGCTCATCGGCCCCACTGGCAATCAAGCACACATCAAATGCATCGCCCCATCCGTCACCAGCCTTCTCATCAACCTCCTGCGCTGCATCCCGTCCTTGCTGCACTTCAGCAGTCCTGTCGGCAAGTGCATCCGCCTCCATCCCCTCTGGCCTGTCCATCCCTCTTTCCACCTGGTTTGTGGTACCTCGACCAGGCGGATCCGTAGGCAGTTCGATCAAGCCGCCCCCGGCGACAGCGCCTGTGGGCTCGGTGGCATCGCTGGCAGCCAGGCTCAAGTCGCACGCATCGCCCCATCCGTCCACCAGCTTCTCCTCGTCAGCCTCCTCCGGGGCCGCCTCCTCTCGGCTGCACGCGAGAGTGACCCTGGGCAGGAGTGACCTCTGGTGCGCGGCCTGCGGGGGCCGCGGGGGCGGGGGCGCCACATGCAGGCCGTCCAGGCACGACAGCCAAGGGTGGCGGGAGCCCCGTGGGCCAGAGGTGAATGAAGGGGCCCACGAAGACACAAATAAATACACACAAATAAAACGATCCCGCACATTTTCCTATATTTTCTGGGTTTTTGTCTTCCCCCCCACTTCCCATATTTTCCCATATTGTCTGGGGAATCGAAGATTAATTGTGTCTGTGTGTTTTTTCCCCTCCCCAGTGAAGGGTCACTCTCACGCGTGGCCGGTCCTCTGCACTCCCTGCCTCCTCGGCCAGCGCCACGCCGATGTCCAGCAGATCGCTCCATCCTCCTCCCTCCTTCTCGTCGTCCACCTGCAGGAGGCGGAGGGGGGACCCGGCGAGGGCCCACAGGACAAGGGCAAGGTGAGAACAGTATCGGAGTCGACCAGCTCTGGAGTCTGTGGTGGCCGGCAGGTGCAGGGCGCGTGCGGGCGCTGCGGCAGGCCCCCCCAGGACGCTCCGGGAGTGCCTCAGAACGCCGTGCCACGGTATGGTCGCACCCCAGGGGCTGCGCGATCATGCCTGCACGCGCCCCTCCGTCTGCCTCGCCTTCACCTCCCGCCAAGAGCCCGAAGCGAAGACAGACAGGCCGCCTCGGACGCAACAGGGACTGCAACTACAGCCGGGGCGCTGACCTGAGGAGCCCTAGATAGGCAAGGAGGCCCCTTTTCCCCAGAAGCTAAACCTCGACCTCCCATCAAAAGCCTGAGGAACGCTTGAGGCAACAGACACATGCATACTCCTCGAACGGAGCGGAGAAACAGTTGAAATCCAGGTCAACACGTTGTTGGTATTGAGCTCCAGTGCGAAGACCGAACGCCAGAACCACTCCGCACGGACAATCGCGTAAACAAGACCATCCCTGCGCTGGGCAGCCGTGAGCGTGGTGGCGTGGCCACGCTGCGCTCCTGCGCAAAGACGCTCCGGCGAGGCAATCCGCAGCCATGCCCCGCAGGCACGCTGAGGCGTGTAAACGCCCATGGTCTGCCTGGCGAGATCTATAATGTTTCTTCGGGGGCGGGCTTAACACGCCGTCAGCAATCCCCGGCCAACCTTCTCAACGAAGAGGATGGCCAAGGTGTGCCTCCGAGACGACCCAGGAAGACCTGGAATCAATGCTTTGTGGCGTGCATTCTGGGTACCCAGACATATTGTGGACTTGGACGGGTGTGTTGCAAATCAGGCCGCACAACGGAACAGCGTACGTAGGAAAGTTGGCACTTGCATCTGCTGATCCAAACCGACTGGCAAGTTATGAGATAGATTGTCAGCGACTCCACACGCAAAAAACAAAATTGTCAGGGCCCGCAGGACGCATTTTCATTCGGATCGCTTGAGGATGGTATCGACGCGACTGCAATTGGGAGATATCGTGCGTGATGGCGTCGATTAATGTTTATGTGTTTCGGTTCGAGCTTGCTTAGGATTGCAATGCTCTTCTTTGTTTCGGAGTGCAAAGCAATGCATTGCAATTGTGTTGCGTGTAGTTTCTTTGCTTACTTGGGCATTGCTTTGCTGTTATGGCGCGCTTTGACAGTATCGCAGTATATGTTGCAAGCACGTTGCAACACAATGCGATGCAACGCAGTTTCAAGCAACGCAGGGCGAATGGAATGGAAACCAAGACAGCACGTGGCGATGCACACTAAGACAATACAACGCAATGCGCGTTATCTGCTGGGAAAACAAGGCCGGCGCCCAGGATTCGCCCAGGGAGGTCTGGCGGCCATGTAGCCGCCGTCGCCGCCGCGTCGCCGCCCTAGATTGCACAACATATGTTGCACTGCACAGGTTGCACCACATCGATTGCACCGCATAGAATGCACCACAATAACTCTACCAAGTCGGTTACACCACATCGATTTTTCACCCAGAGCGCACAACATAGATTGCACCGCATCGATTGCACCACTTAGACTGCATCACATAGCATGCACAGCACATATTGAACGTGCACCACACAGGTAGCACAACATAGATTGCACCACATCTGGACGCTGCGCGTTGCCTGGCATTCGACGTAGTGGCCGAAGATACCCGCTGCTCGAGCTAGCCCCGTAGGGGCTGACTTGATGGGCTCCCGCGGGAACCCGTGAACCGTGCGCCCCCTCGCGTTTGAGGTCGGGTGTGTGGACAGTGCGAAACAAAAAAGACTGCACCACGTAGCCTTGCACACCACAACTGCATCGCAAATGTTACACCACATGGATTGCACAACAGAGATTGCACCACACACAGTGCACAACACGTACTGCACCAGATGGGTTGCTCCGCACATGTTAGAAAACACACACTGCACAACCATATTGCACAACCTAGTCTGTACTAGACCTTGCACAAAATATGTTGAACCGGATAGATTGCAGCACATGGATTGAACAACATATGCTGCATCACATCGAGTGCACACCATAGGTTACACGATGCAGACTGCACATACTATCGTGCACAACCTAGACTGCACACCATATGCACACGGTTTCATGCCCGTGCTGGCTAACGTTGTCTATCATCTCCTTGCTCGTGCACGGAGATCATGCAGCACACGAGCGCACGAGCTCTCGCAAACGGGGCTGGAGCAAACGGGGTCGGAGGATGGCGCCGCACTGCCGATCCACCGGCGGCGGCAAGATGGCTAAGCGTGGGCTCCAGATCGCGCCGTGCCTCCCATGCGTGGGCGATGCGGCGCGACCCGCCGACCTCGTTTGCTCTTGCCCGGTCTGGGAGGCCCGGAGCGCCCAGCCCCGTCGATCGGCCACCTGCTCCTCCTCGACCACATCGTTCGGCGCCTCTGGTCTTTGCCGCCCTCCAGCAGCCCCGGCCCCAAGCGCTTCCACCTCCGCCTCCTCCGCGCACTCCGCCTCCTGTGCCGCCTGGCCTGCACCGCCCTGAGCTGCCAGATCCGCGCTCGCATCGATCTGGCCACCCTCACAAAGTGCGCCTGTGGGCTCGATGTCCTCGCTGGCAATCAGACCAATGTCGAGCGCGTCGCCCCATCCGTCCGCCGCGTCGTCCTGGCAGGAGGACGCCACTTACATACATCGATGCCGCTACTTGCCAGGCCCATCCTGCGACCAAGACCGATAACAACATCCCCGCCAATTAAAGGCGACCAGGGGGTCTGAACTGGCTGAGGCTCCAGGAAATCGGCCAGGAGGGGGGATGAAACCAAATCCGCCCAAAATCGTTCCCAAGCCGGACCTCTCCCAAAATCCATGTCGTGCAGGTTTGAGCCAAGGATCCGCGCCTGCCGGGGCCGAAGCATGCAATTAAAGCCCTCCCGAGGCCGGCGCCTCGGACCTGCCCGCTCCTCCTGCTGGCCAGGACCCGTGCTGGCCCACCTCTGACTCCCGGCCGAAACTATGTAGGCCGCCATGCCAGGCGGGAATGTGTGCACCGATCCGGGGGTCGGGGTGCGCCCGGCCAGGAGCGGTGCGGGTGCACAGGCGGCGCCCCCCGGGTCGATCCTCGGGGCCCTCTGCTGGGGCCACCGGCGCCTGCTGGCCTCCAGCGATCCAGGCGCCGGGCGTCTCCACCTCCACCTCTGTCGGGGAGGCATTTTTTTCCTGAGGTGAGGCTCTGTCTGTGGAGGCTCTATCTGGTTGATCATTTGGTCGAGGAGGCTCGATCAATGGTTTGACACTTGTCCTGCCACCTTCGCCATCTGCAGTGGTCCGCTCCCGACTCCTGTTCCTCTGAGAACGAGGTGTCGGGGAGACCGAGACTATAATTTTGGAGCACTAAGACTTGCCCGACGGGGCCATCAGAAACATGGCGGGACCCCATCTGAACCTGGACGCGAATTCCTGCTGCAGACATCTTGCGGAAACTGGGCCGTCGAAATCCAAGCTGGGACCGTCAACAAGCTGCGGCAAATCCGAGATGCGGCAAACTCGAATCTAAGGTTCCCCCAACCCTGGCCAAGCAAGATTAGGTCGAGCATGTCCCCGTACAGGCGGATTTCGAACGAAAAATCAGCCATACATGGAACCATCTCCAAACATATCCAAAACGTACACTACACCAACGTCCCCATACTTTTTTTACTATTTTTGAGTATTCCTCCTGTAGGGGGACACGACTTAAAGCAAGAGCGATGAGACTGGATAAAGACGGGGCGCGAAAAGTTAAAGCAGGGCGAGGCGCAAAAAGGCGATCAGGGAGGAGGCGCGGCGCCGAGAGGCAGAGCCAAGGTGAGGCAGCGCAGGACCCAGAGAAGCGCTTGCACGGGACAGGGAGAAAAAGCTCCTGATGATCCTCTTTTTCGTTCTTCTCCTCCTCCTTCTCCTCCCCACGCGCGGAGTCCCATAGGCCGTGGCGCGAGGCCAGCGTTCCGTTCGATGAGGGGGTTACCTGGAAGAGCTCTCGTGGGCCCATCCAGAGAACGCATTTGTGTCTGCAAGGGGTGGGATGGGTGGCGACCTCTGCCTTGACTTGGCAGGACGACTACGACAGGACGGTTCACCTCGGCTACAACTCGCCGAGTTTAGTCACGCACCTGCTGTCTCTTGCCACGCAGCGCAGCTTTGAGCGCAAGATGGCTAGGGGCATTCCTGAATTTGCTGGAGCCCGCGTCACTCTCGACCCCCTCCAGAAAATGTTTGGACCGCCTTCCAAGGGCCTCACCTCCAGGGAGAAGCATATGGGTATCTCTCTCTCATGAGGGGGTTCCCCCAACGATGATCACCCCGATGCGGCGGCGACGGGTCCGTCGGGGACAGATGCGCAAAAACGATATGTCCGCCGCACGGAACGATTGAGAAGTTATTGTAAAAAGTTGTGCGATGTGCGATGGGCGCGCCGTGGACAGTGAAGTTCAACCATGTGTGGCGCGCAATTTTTTCGGTGCGACGGCGACGGCGGGTGGCCAGACAGATGCACAGTACGTAACCAAGCACGTTCGCCGACGGTGCGACAGCGACCGGCGAGGCCGCGACAGATAGACAGTTCGTTTGTTTCCGGAGAACTCCTAAGATAGACTGTGGGAAGGATGGGGAAGCCATTCTGCTTCACCCTTGGTGCCTTTGCAGGGCCGCTTGGGGCCGTTTCGCCTGAGACGTCGTCGCAACATGGAGACGTCGGCCCGAGAAAAGCCAACGTGGCCTTCAACATGCACACACATCTCTGCAGCGCACGCAATGGCCAAAACACAATATAAAAATCCCACCAGCCCTTTGGGCGTGAGTGGTTTAAAGAGCCCTCTCTGTCCTCAACCCCCTTTTTCCCCTTGGGGGAGGGGTTTACCCCTCCCCCTACCCCCTCCCCCTGGGCCTGGAAGGGGCGTTTCGCGGGTCGTTGGGTCACCGAAGATGGCCTAAGATGGCGCCAAGAGGGCCCAAGAGAGCTCAAGGTGACCTCCAAGATCGCTCAAGATAGCCCTCGATGACTCAATATAGCTCCCAACATGCGTACAAGACGCTCCAAGACCGCCCCAAGACGGCTCCACGTGGTCACGGGGCTCCCGATGCATCGTGTAATTGTTTTATACCATCGGAGGCCATGTTAAGTTCAAAACTCAATGGTCAAAACCCAATGTAAATATTCACTATCAGGGCCCAAGAGGCTGCCACATAGCGTGGAATATATACAGTTAAGCGAAGCCACGCGTGCACTAAACGGAGAGGGAGGAAGAGGAGGAGGAAGGAAGACGAGGACGGGGGAAGGACAATGAAGATATCTTTCAATGGCAAAGCGGCCACGCGCACCACCCTGAAGGCGCGGGTCCGGCGGGGCGCCGCGCCGCCCGCGCGCGCGCCCAGTGGCGCGCGCGCGTTCTGGCACGCCCTGCTGCCACACGGATCTGGTGCCGAGCGGAGCAGGGTGCACAGGGAGCGAAGCGGGGTGGGTGGGCACCCGAGTCCTGGCTCGAACTCGAGCCAACGACTACGGACCCAAAATGGCATGGCAAAGCCCCCGCTTCCCTACGCTTAACCTGCAGTCTACCAACATCACAGACTATACAAGTTAAGCGAAGCCACGCGTGCACTAAACGGAGAGGGAGGAAGAGGAGGAGGAAGGAAGACGAGGACGGGGGAAGGACAATGAAGATATCTTTCAATGGCAAAGCGGCCACGCGCACCACCCTGAAGGCGCGGGTCCGGCGGGGCGCCGCGCCGCCCGCGCGCGCGCCCAGTGGCGCGCGCGCGTTCTGGCACGCCCTGCTGCCGCACGGCCAAAACCAAAAGAACGCAGCCGCGCGCGGGCGAAGGACGCCCGGGCGCGCGACCACTGGCCTGCAAGCCTGAGGCCTTCCTGGAGCGGGCGCCAGGCCGCCCCGGCTGGGCAGCGCCCCGCCGGCGGCGTGCAACGCGCGCCCGAGCTGGCCCCTACGGCCTCGCCCAGGCGTGGGGGGCTAAACGCTCCCCAGGGCCGCGCGCCGCCGGCCCGCCGGCGCGGGATCGCGCCCGCGAAAGGCGCTAGCCGCGCGCGTCGCGCCGGACGCGACATAGAACACGCAGAGAGCGAGCGCGCGCGTGCGAAAGCACACGCGCGAGCTGGAGGTGCAAGCTGGCTGCAGCCCAGAGGACGCCACGTGGCCCGAGCAGCCCGTCGCTCCCCCCGGTCCTCCTCCTTCTAATCCCCGTCGTCGGGCGGTTCCCCTGTGGCGGTCAGCGCGCGGCCCTCGATGCCCCATGCTGCCGGCGAACATGTCAACGTAGGTCGATCCGCTCGTCCCCGTCGTCGCGCCCTTCGGCATCCTCGTCGAGTAGGCCCTCGGCTGCCAGCTGCACCTCGACCAGGCCCTCCCGACACCAGGCGGCGTCGCCAGGCAGCTGGCGCAAACGGCCTCGCCGTCCGCCCCGCGGCCCTCAGCGGGCCCCCGGGTCGACTGTCGCGGGATCCGTAAAAGGCAAGCAACGCACCCGGTATGAGCGAGCAAGTGATCCGAGCAATGTAGCCACTGCTCCCTCGCTCGAGCTCGCCCAGCGGCCGCAAGTACTGCGCCACTGCGTCGTTGAACACTGCAATGCCCGTGAGCACCGGCATGTCGTCGAGCACCCGAGCGCCCTTGCAGCTGCGCACGCCCTTGAACACAAACACGTCGCCGATCAGCGCGCCGTCGAGCGCCGGCACGCTCGTGACCTCGTGCGTGCCCCGGGAACTGAGCGCGCGTGTGAACGCGACCACATCCCCGTGGCCCTCGACGAAGAGCAGGTTTGCCGCCGTGACTGCGCCCCTGAGGCTGGTCCCCTCGCGGCCGGGCCCAGCTGGGCCCTGTCTCACGGACGAACATACCTTCGCCGCCGGAACCTCGCCCCAAGGGCTGGTCCCCTCGCGGCCTGGCCCAATATCGGCGTGGCCATCCACCAACAGGCCGCCCGCCGCTGGAACCCCGCCCCATGGGCGTGTCCCTCCGCGGCCGGGCCCGGCAGGGCCATGTCCCGCGGTAGACTGCGGGTTGTCGCAGGCGGCTGCGGATAAGGTAAAACAAACGAAGCGCGCCCACTGCAAGTACGGCCCCTCCGGGAGTACCATCACGCAGTGGGGAATGCCAAGAACGTCCGGGAACACCGTCGCGCCGTTGGCCACAGGCACGCCCGTGCGCACCTGCATGCCGTCGAGCCTCGGGAAGCTCGTGACCTCGAGCGCGCCCTGGGGCAGGAGCGCGGCCGTGAGCCGGACCACCGTGCGCATCTGCATGCCGTCGAGCCTCGACAAGCTCGTGACCTCGAGCGCGCCCTGGGGCAGGAGCGCGGCCGCGAACCGGACCACGTCCTTGAGCACCGCGCTGTGGAGCAGAGCTTCGCCCCCAAGCGCGCGCGCGTTGTTGAGCACCGGCGCACCTGTGAGGACCCACCTGCCATAGACCAAGGGTGGAACGGCCGCTGGGACTTCGCTCCTTGGGCTGATCCCCTCGCAGCCGGGCCAAGCGGACCCCTGTCCCGCGGCCGACGCTTGCCAGTCGGGTCTGGCCGGGAGGGCGAGCACGACCACGCCATCGAACGCGACCATCAGCAAGATGGGCCCACGCGAGCCAGTGAACGCAAGCGCAAGTAGCCGTACCTCGCGGGGCGGGGTCGCCATGGCGGGCCTCCCGCCCGGTGGCTGCCCGGGGCGGGTCAGCGCGCCACGGCGTTCCAGGGCGCCCACGAGCATCGATGTGACGTCGAGCACCTGGGCATCCCCGGCCTGGAGCACGCCCTTGAGTACGACCACGTTCTCCGACTCTGACTTTGCCGGCGGGAAGTCCAGGCCGACCGCTGGAAACGTAACCCCATCCCCATGCGACTCCAGATAAGATGGTGGGTCTGCCGCGGGGACTTCGCCCATGCGGGCTGCCCCCCTCGCGGTAGGAGCGGTGGCTGCGACCCGCCGGACCTGGGCGGCATCGGTCTTCCGCGGCATGCCGTGCCCGATCGCGGGGATGCAATGCTCCGCGCCGAAGGCAGTGCGGGCGCTGGCCCCAGCGTAGACGGCCACGTCGATGCCGGCGCCGGTGTTCGTCTCTGCGCTGGTTTTGGCGTCGGCGCAAGCGCCCGGGTCAGCGTCGGCGCCGGCGCTGGCGTCGTCGCTGCTGTCGCTGTCGGCGTAGGCGGTGACATTGGCACCGACGTCGGCGCTGGCGTCGGCGGTGGCGTAGGTGGAGTCGCCCTCGCGGCAGTCCTCGCAGCTCGGCAGGCGCGGAGAGACCCGCAACGGTGGCGGCGTGGGCTGCTGCGGCGCCCTGGCTGGGCAAGCCCCGTCGGTAGCGTGCGGCACGCGCCCGAGCTGGCCCCCACGGCCTCGCTCAGGCAGGGGGCAGACGCACCCCGACCGCACGGCGCCGGCCCGCCGGCGCGGAGCCGCACCCGCGAAGGGCCCGCGACGCGCGCGTCGCGCTAAGCGCGTCCGAAAGTCGGGCGGGCAGCGCGCGCGCGCGAGAATGCCCGCGTGAGCGGCACGGAGCCTGCGGGGCCAAACGCGCGCGCGCGGAAGCGTGGTGCCGGTGAGCCAGTCCAGATCGCCCGTGCTGGCTACGGCGCCAAAGTCGGAGCTGGCGGCGGCGCTAGCGTCGGTGCTGGCCGCGGCGTTCGCGGTCGCGAAGGCGGCAGCGCCTGCCTCGGCGTCGGCGCGGGCGTCGGCGCTGGCGCTGATGTTGGCGCGGGCCGTGATGCTGAAGCCGGCCTTGGCGCTGGCGTCGATGCTGGTGCCGAGTCCCACGTCGGAGATCCTGGCGCCAGGCCTGGACCAGTCCACGGCCCAGACCTCGCCGGCCTCTGTGCGGGCGATGGGGAAAGCGTCGGTGCTGGCACCTGCACCGGCAGCCGAGAAGGCGACGGCGCCCGCGCGGGCCTCGCAGCCGATGGCGTTGATGCCGGCGTCGGCGGTGACGTTGGTAGCGTCGGCGCGGGCGCCTGCGGTCGCGGCGGCGGAAGCGGCAACGTCATCATAGGCCTCGCCGTCGGCGTCTGCGCTGGCGTCGTCGCTGGCGTTGATGTCGGCGTAGGCGGGGGCATTGGGGGTGTCGGCGCTGGCGTCGCAGGACGCGGCCCCGGTGCCAGCCCGCGCATCGGCAACGATGTCGGCGTCGGCGCTGGCGTCGGCGCTGATGCTGGCGCAGGCGTTGGCGACGGCGTTGACGACGGTGGCGGCGTCGGTGCTGGGAACGGTGCCCTCTTCAGGGCCCGCGGCGCCGAGCCTGACCCAGACCATGTCCCAGACCCCATCGGCCTCTACGTCCGTCTCGGCCCCGTCCGACCCCGCGCCCCTTCTCGAGCCCTCGATGTTGCTCACGAACTCCAGCCCCTCGATGATGGCGCCTGCGCTGGTCTCGGCGCCTGCGCGGGCGCCCGCGTCAGCGTTGGCGCCGGCGCAGGCCTCGTCGCTGTCGTCGCTATCGGCGTAGGCGGTGACGTTGGCGTCGACGTCGGCGCTGGCGTCGGCGGCGGCGGCGATGGAGATGCCCTCGCGGCAGGCCTCACAGTCCGGCCGGCGCGGAGCGGCCCGCAGCGGTGGCGGCGAGGGCTGCTGCGGCGCCCTGGCTGGGCAAGCCCCGCCGGCAGCGCGCGGCATGCGCCCGAGCTGGCCCCCGCGGCCTCGCTCCGGCAGAGGGCAGACGCACCCCGCCCGCGGTGCGCCGGCTCGCCGGCGCGAAGCCGCGCCCGCGCGGGGCCCGAGACGCGCGCGTCGCGCCAAGGGCGTCAGCAAGCCGAACGGGCAGCGCGCACGCGCGAGAATGCCCGCGTGTGCGGCACGGAGCCTGCGGGGCCAAGCGCGCGCGTGCGGAAGCGAGGCGTCGGCGACGCAGTCGCCGACGTTGGGGCCAGCGTCGGCGCCGGCGGCAACGCGGGCGCCGGTGCCCGTGCAGACGCCCCTGTCGGCGTCGGCGTCGGCCCCGACCCCCGCGATGGTATCGGTGCTGACGCCGGCTCTCGCGGCGGCGTCGGCGCCGTCGCTGGCGTCTGCGCTGGCGTTGGTTTCGGTGTAGGCGATGACGCCGCCGTCGACGTCTGCGTTGACGCCGATGCTGGTAGCGGGGCCCGCGTCGGCGCCGAGCCGGGGCCAGTCTAAGTCCCAGACCTCGTCGTCCGTGCTGGCTGAGGCGCCGGTGTCGGAGATGGCGGTGGTGCAAGCGTCGGTGCCGGCCGCGGCGTGGGCGGTCGCGGAGGCGGCAGCGCCTGCATCGGCATCGAAGGCGTCGTCGTCGGCGCGGGCGTCGGTGCTGGCGCTGATGTTGGCGCGGGCCATGCTGGAGCCGACCTTGACGCTGGCGTCGGTGCTGGTGCCGGGTCCCACGTCGGAGCACCTGGCCCCAAGCCTGGACCAATCCACGGCCCAGACCTCGCCAGCCTCTGCGCGGGCGATGGGGAAAGCGTCGGTGCTGGCACCTGCGCTGGCAGCCGAGAAGGCGACGGCGCCCGCGCGGGCCTCGCAGCCGATGGGCCCCGCGGCGCGGTGGTGGCGAGCCTCATCCCGCAGCTGAATCGCCTGGGGGCCCTCCTGCGTGGACGATTGCGTCCATGCAGCCGCCGCCGGGGACGCCGCCAGGGCTGCCCAGGGGCCTCCCTGGGCCTTGTGGGCCGCCGGTCGCGCCTCTGGCAGCGATACAGCCGCCTTCGGGGCCGCCGCTGGGGCCGCCCCCGTCCCGATCGACGCCGGGCCCTTGCCGCCGTCCTCGCCGCCGCTGCACCGTGTTTTGGCTCCGGCGGCGACCCCGGCGGCTCCGGCAGGCCCTGCCTGGGGGCCCCCCCGGCCCCCTTTCTCAAGCGTGTGCGAAAGGGTGTCTGCACACGCTTGGGTTTGGCCCTTTCTGGAAGCCCTGGAGGCGGCCCCGGAGGCTTCTCCAGGCTCCCCCGGACGCCTCCCACGGTCCGCGGCGGGCCTCCCAGCCCCCCGCCCGGCGACTTCGGCGACCCCTGCAGCGGCGGCGGAAGCGAGGCCGACGGCATCAGCGGGCGTGACGAAAACGGCGTCGGCGTCGGCGTGGGCGTGGGCGCGGGCGATAGGGCCAGCGCGGGCGACGGCGGAGGCGTAGGTGTCGGTGCGGTTGTCTGCGCCGGCGTCGCCCAAGTGCATGGCCCCGAACTCCACGTCCGCGCCTGTCCACGGCCCCGCCCCCGCCCTAGGCGCTGGCCCGGCGCCCGCGCTGGCGTCGGAGGTGCCGGCGTCGGAGCCGGCGTCGGAGCCGGCGTCGGTGCTGGCGTCGGAGCCGGCGTCGGTGTTGGCGTCGGAGCTGGCGTCGGTGCTGGCGTCGGTGCCGGCGTCGGAGCCGGCGTCGGTGCTGGCGTCGAAGCGGCTGTCGGTGCCATCGGCGCCGCTGTCGGTGATGCCGTCGGCGCCCCTGCAGGTGCGGCTGCAAGCGCCGCAGTCGGGGCGGCAGCCGACGCCACTGGTGGCGCAGCCGCCGACGCGGCTGTCGGGGCCGCAGCCGCCGGAACCGCAGTAGGTGCTGCCGTCGACGCCGCCAGGGCTACTGGCGCAGCCGTCGGCCAGGCTGTCGGCGCCGCAGCTGTCGGAGCGGCAGTCGGTGCCGCCGCCGGGCCGGCCGTCGGCGCGGCCGTCGGGGCCGCCGTTGTCGGCGCGGCGGCGGGTGCTGCCGCCAACGCCGCCGACAACTCGGCCGTCGGAGCGACTATTGGGGCCGTCGGCGCCGCTGTCGGTGATGCCGTCGGCGCCGCTGCCTGCGGTGCTGGCGGCGCCGCGATCGGGGCGCCAATCGGCGCCGCCCTCGACGCCTCTGACGGCGCAGCGGCCGGTGTGGCTGCGGGCCCCGCAGCCGTCGGAGCGGCGGTCGGTGCCGCCTGAGTGGCTGTCGGGGCCGCAGCTGTCGTAGCGGCAGTCGGTGCCGCCGTCGACGCCGCCGAGGCTGTTGGGGCAGCTGTCGGTGAGGCTGTCGGTGCCGCAGCCGTCGGAGCGGCAGTCGGTGCCGCCGTCGGCGCAGCCGTGGGCGTGGCTGCCGGGGCCGCAGCTGTCGGGGCGCCAATCGGTGCCGCCCTCGCCGCCGCTGGCGGCGCAACGGCCGGTGCGGCTGTTGGCCCCGGCGGCGCCGCCGTCGGTGATGCCATCGGCGCGGCCGCCCCTGCTGTCGGTGATGCCATCGGCGCAACCGTCGGTGCCACGGTTGGCGCGGCTGGCGCCGTCGGCGCCGACGGCGCCGCGGTAGGCGCCGCTGTAGGTGCCATTGCAGCCGCTGCCCGCCCGCCGTCGCCTCCCGATGTCGGGTCTTGGCGCGCATCGGGCCGCTTTTGAGCCACCCCCGCACGCCTCCTCCTTCGGGTCCGCCGCCGATGGGCCCGAAAAGGGCGTGGTGGGTGCCCCTCGGCCGATCCAATCACAACGCAATTTATGGAGCCCGCTGTGGAAACCGGTCAGGCCCTCGAAGTTGGACTGCTGGAGCACGCTCCCGAATACCGGCGTGCCGCCAAGCTCAGGCGCGCTCCGGGATGCGAGCGCGCTGGTGGGCGACAGCGTGCCTGTCGGCACCCACGTGCTGTCGAGCACCCGCGTGCCCGTGATAGAGGGCACGGCCCCGCACCTCGCCAGGGTGCGCGCGCGATCCTCCATGTGGTCCGGAGGTATGCGACCAGTAAGGTCCTCAGCCACCGCCAGCTCCGCCGCTGGGACGTCGCCCCTAAGGCTCGTGCCCCCGCGGCTAAGCCTCGCCTGCATGACCAACGCCGGCTGGGCGGCACGGGCAGCCAGGCATCTGAACCGAGAAACGTCTGCCTCATTGTGCGTGCCCTGGTGCGCGACCACCCCCGCGGTCGCGATGTCGGCGCCGGCGGGGCCGGAGGCGCCGTCGCTGGCGCTGGGACCGGCGGCGGCGCCGGCGTAGGCGCGGGCACTGCCAGCGCGGGTGCTGTTGGCGGTGTGGGCGCTGGTCCCAATGTAGACGGTCATGCCAATGTCGGCGTCGGCGCTGGTCGCTGCGCGGGTCCCGGCGTCGGCGCATGCGCCCGCGTCAGCGACGGCGCCGGCGCCGGCGTCGTCGCTGGCGTCGTTGTCGGCATAGGCGGTGACGTTGGCGTCGACGTCGGCGCCGGCGTCGGCGGTGGCGGAGGCGGAGTCGCCCTCGCGGCAGTCCTCGCAGCTCGGCAGGCGTGGAGCGGCCCACAACGGCGGCGGCGAGGGCAACTGTGACGCCCCGGCTGGGCAAGCCCCGCCGGCAGCGTGCGGCATGCGCCCGAGCTGGCTCCCACGGCCTCGCTCCGTCTGCGATGGCGCGGTGCTGACGCTGGCTCTCGCGGCGGCGTCGGCGCCGGCGCCGGCGTTGGCGGTGGCGTTGGGTTCGGCGTAGGCGGTGGCGCTGGCAGCGCCTGCATCGGCATCGAAGGCGTCGGCGTCGGCGCTGGCGTCAGTGCTGGCGCTGATGTTGGCGTGGGCCGTGATGCTGGTGCCGACCTCAACGCGGGCGTCCGTGCTGGTGCCGGGTCCCCCGTCGGAGAACCCGGCGCCAGGCCTGGGCCAATCCCCTCGGCCAATCCGATCACAACACCACAGTCCATGGAGCCTGCCGTTGAGCCCAGTCACACCCTTGAAGTTGGACTGGGGCACGCTCTCGGATACCAGAGTGCTGCAAGGCCCAAGCGCGCTTTGGGATGCGGGCGCACTGATGGGCGTCAGCGTGCCTGTCGGATCCCACGTACTGTCGAGCGCCCGCGTGCCCTTGACAGGGGGCCCGGCCCCGCGCCTCACCAGGGCGTGCGCGCAATCCTCCGTGATCCGAAGGTATGCGAACGGTAAGGTTTCCAGCCACCGCCAACCCCGCCGCTGGGACGTCGCCCCTAAGGCTCGTACCCACGCGGCTAAGCCCCGCCGGCATGACCAACGCCGGCTGGGCGGCACGGGCAGCCACGAAGCTGAACCGCGTAGCGCCCGCCTCATGGTGCGTGCCTCGGTGTGCGACTACGCCCGCGGTCGCGTCGTCGGCACCGAAGGCGCCGTCGCTGGCGCCGGGACCGGCGGCGGCGCCGGCGTAGGCGCGGGCCCCAGTGCCAGCGCGGGCGTCGTCGGCGGTGCGGGCAGCGGTTCCAATGTAGACGGTCATGCCGATGTCGGCGTCGGTGCTGGTTTCTGCGCTGGTCTCGGCGTCGGCGTAGGCGCCGTTGGCGTCGACGTCGGCGGTGGCGGAGGCGGAGTCGCCCTCGCGGCAGTCCTCGCAGCTTGGCGGGCGCGGAGCGGCCTGCAGCGGCGGCGGCTCGGCGTCGGACCAGGCGGCGGCTCCGGCATAGGCGTCGGCGTTGGCGCCGTCGCCGGCGTTGATGTCGGCGAAGGCGGGGACGTTGGCGTCGGCGCTCGCGTCGTGGGATGCGGCCTTGGTGCCAGCCTGAGCCTCGGCATCGGTGTCGGCGTCGGCGCCGGCTTCGCCGCTGGCGCTGATGTTGGCGCAGGCGGTGACGACGGGGCCGACGACGGCGGCGGCGTCGGTGCCGGGAAAGGGGCCCCCGTCGGGGCCCGCGGCACCGAGCCTGGTCCAGTCCCAGTCCCGAGTCTCGTCGGCCTCCGCGTCCGTCTTGACCCCGTCCGTCCCCGCAGCCCTCCTCGAGCCCTCGACGTCGGCGTTGGCGTCGGCGGTGGGGGAGGCGGAGTCGCCCTTGAGGTGGTCCTCGTGGCTCGGCAAGCGCGGAGCGGCCTGCCGCGGCGGCGGCGAGGGCAGCCGCGACGCTCCAGCTGGGCAAGCCCCGCCAGCAACGTACGGCACGCGCCTGAACTGGCCTCCACGGCCTCGCTCAGGCGGGGAGCAAACGCGCCCCAACCGCGCGGCGCCGGCTCGCCGGCGCGTGGCCGCGCTCGCGAAGGGCGCGAGACGCGTGCGGCGCGCTGAGCGCGACCGAAAGCAGAACTGGCAGCGCGCGCGCGCGAGAGCGCCCGCGCGAGCTGCACGGAGCCTGCGGAGCCAAGCCCGTGCGTGCGGAGGCGCGGAGCAGGTGGCGCAGTCGCCGACGTTAGGGCCAGCGTCGGCGCCGGCGGCAGTGTGGGCGCCGGTGCCCGTGCAGACGTCCCTGTCGGCGTCGGCGTTGGTCCCAGCGCCTGCGCTGGTATCGGTGCCGACGCCGGCTCTCGCAGCGGCGTCGGCGCTTGCGCCGGCGTCGGCGCTGGCGTTGGTTTCGGCGTAGGCGGTAACGCCGGCAGCGCCTGCATCGGTAGCGGAGGCGTCGGCGCTAGCGTCGGTGCTGGCGCTGATGTTGGCGTAGGCCGTGATGCTGGTGCCGACCTCAGCGCAGGCGTTGGTGCTAGTGCTAGGTCCCACGTCAGGGAACCCGGCGCCATGCTTGGACCAACCCATAGCCCAGACCTCGCCGGCCACTGAGCTGGCGTGGGCGATAGCGTCGATGTCGGCGCCTGCGCCGGCAGCCGAGGAGGCGGCGGTGCCCGCGCGGCCCTCGGAGCCGATGGCGTTGATGCCGGCATCGGCGGTGATGTTGGGAGCGTTGGCGCTGGCGCCCGTGCTGGCGGCTGCGGAGGCGGCAACGTCCTCATCGGTGTCGGAGCCGGAGGTGCAGTCGTCGGCATCCAGCCTGGCGGCGGCCCCGGCGTAGGCGTCGGCCCTGGCGCCGTCGCTGTCGTTGATGCCGGCGCAGGCGGGGGCGTCGGGGGCGGCGGCGCCGGTGTCGTAGGTGGGCCCGGTGCCAGCCTGAGCGTCGGCATCGATGTCGGCGTCGGCGCTGGCGTCGGCGTTGGCGCTGATGTTGGCGCCGGCGGTGACGACGGTGCCGACGACGGCGGCGGCGTCGGTGCGGGGGACGGGGCCCTCGTCGGGGCCCGCGGCGCCGAGCCTGGTCCAGTCCATGTCCCAAACCTCGTCGGCCTCCACGTCCGTCTCGGCCTCGGCCGTCTCCGCGGCCCCCCACGTGCCCGCGGTGATGCTCACGATCCCCTGCCCCCCGATGATGGTGCAGGCGGCGACATCGGTGACGAAATCGGCGGCGTCGTTGGTGCCGGAAACGGGGCCCCTGTCGGTGCCCGCGGTGCCGTGCGTGGTCCAATCCATGTCCCAAACCTCGTCGGCCTCCACGTCCGTCTCGGCCTCGGATCCGATCTCCATGAGGCTCCGCGCCTGCTCCGCGGCGGGGTGGCGGCGAGTCCCCACTAACAGTTGCTGCCCCACCTCCAGGGCCTCGTGGGCCTCGCGGGGGAACTCATCGCGTTCCAACCGCGCGACCTCCCAGGTCTCGAGCACGTCCGTCAACCGGTACTGCTTGGCCTCCGCTGGCGCCCCTCCCGCCGCCACGGCGGCTGCCCGCTCCGAGCGGCGCCTCGCGAGCGCGTCTCTGGCGCCCTCAAGGGCCAGCGCGCGCCGGCGCAGCCGTGCTTCCAGCTCGGGGCCGGCCCCGCGCCAGAGATCCGGAGCCGGGTCTGTGCCTGCGCGTGCATTGGCATCGATGCTGGTGAACGCGATGGCGTTGGTGCTGGCGCGCTGGCCGCGATCGATGTTGGCCTCGGCGCTGGTGCACCCGCGGGCGGCGGCGCCGGCATCAACGCAGGCGCCGGCGCTGGCGGTTGCGCCGGCACGGGTGCCAGCGCAGTCGCCGTCGTTGGGGTGGGCCTCATCACTGGCATAGGCACTGTGGGCAGCGCTGCCATAGGCGCTGGCGCCGGGGAGGACGCACGAGGCGCTGTCGTCAGCCCGCTCGCCCTCGCCCGCGCGTCCCCGCCCAGGCATGGCCAGGCCGCCGTCCTCGTTCAGCCCGGCTGGACCTCCCATCGCTGCCTCGCGGATGACGATCCTGTGAACGATGGTGGGGCCAGACTCGTCGCACTCGCCCCTCGTAGCCCATTCCTGCTGAGAAGCGCTCTGCGTGAGGGGGATGGTCCCGCCGATCCACATGGGGTACTTACGCTCGGGCGGTGCCGCGATCTTGATCCTCATCGTCGAGGGCGCCAGGGCGGATAGCTCCTTGTTCATGCGCTCCCCGATCCCGGCGAACAGGGTGATGCCGCCAGACGGAAGCGTGTTGGCGTAGAGGTCCCTGCGGATGGCGACGTCGCACTTCATGATGGACTGGAAGGGGGTATTGTGGTTGCCGCTGGCTTCCCTGCCGGTGAAGCTGGACTGGAATAGCACCTCAGGGCAGCGGGCACGCTCGCTGCCCACGGTGATGATGCTGCCGCCCGGAAGCTCGTACGCCTTCTCCTCGTCCCCAACCTCGGTGGCAGCCTGCATCTCAGTGTCACAGACGAGGGCAACGTAGCAGAGCTTCTCCGTAACGTCAGCGACCTTCATCAGGTACCCCGTGAGGTCGCGGCCGGCCAGGTCAAGGCGCAAGATGGTGTACGGCAAGGCATAACTAACCCTCGTAGATTGGCACCCCATGCGACACATCGGCACCCGAGTCCGTCGCGATACAAGTGGCAGGGCCGGAAGCGTGCAACGAGAGCACTGCCGGGATGGCCTCGTACATCGCGTAGAACGTGTGGTGCCAAATCTTCTCCCTATCGTCGCAACTCGTCACGATGCCGTGCTCGATTGGGTACTTCAGCGTCAGCACGCCGCGCCTGCTCTGCGCCCCGTCGCCCACGTAGCCGTCGTTCTGGCCCACCCCGACCATGATGGCCGATCCGAACGCGCCGGCGGAACCGACCGCGCCGCCCCGCCACGGTCCCCCGTCGGCTGGGGGTTGGCAGACAACCTCGGTCGGGGTGCGGGCGTCCTCCTGGAGTGCGGTCCTCCTCATCCTCCTCCGCCTCCTCGTCCTCGCTCTCGGGCGGACCTCCTCCCTCGCCGCTCTCTCGCCATCTGGCGGGCGGAAGGGGGTGGGATTGACCGCCGCGCGGCCCCCCGTCCCCGCTGGCCCAGCGGCCGGCGCCTTCGCTGCCTGCGCCTCTTCATCCTTCTCTCCTCCTACGCCGCCTACTCCTCCTCCTCCTCTGCCGTCGACCCCCTCGGTCGTCGCGAACACGCCAGGCTCGCGCGAGGGCGGCGGGACCGCCTCCTCGGCCTCATCATCCCCGACGGCGCGTAGCTCCGCGACGAAATCCGCGGTGCTGACTCCTGCCTCGCCCCCCGCCCCTGCGGCAGCCTCGAGCTCGTCGATGCGGGCCCGGAGGTTCTCGGCGCCTGTGGCCCCCAGCTCGAAGCTCGTCGTCAGGTGGTCGACGATCGCCATCAAGGTGGCGACGTGCGCGCGGCTCCTCGCCAAGGTCTCCTCGGCACATAATCTGCGCGCCCGCTCGTACTCGCACGCCTGGCTCATCCCTTGGACGAGCCTCTCGGCTATCATCTGCCGTGAAACGCGCTCTCTCCACCGTCGAGTCGCCTCCTCTTCGTAGGCCTGGCGCCACTCCTCAGCACCCACGGCGGCCCGTGACCGCTCTGCCTCCAGGGCGGTGCACCGCGACCGGGCCACGGCCAGCTTCTCCCCGGCGTCGAGCGCCTCGGTCGCCCAAAGCTGCAGGTTGGTGCCCTTCTCGGCCAGCGCAGCCTCCATGCGGCGATGTCGGCACTCGGCTCCCAACACGCAGCAGGCCAACCAACCAGCGGCCAGCCAGCCGAGGTGAAGCAAGTCGAGGCCCAGCCCGCTGCTCCCAGCGCCCCCCACGGAGCTGGCCGCCGCGCGGCTTCGCTCAGCGACGGGGAAAACCGGATCCACCGGAGACGGGGCCTCGCCAGCGCCCGAACCGTTGCTCTGGGCTGCCGGCTGGCCGGACGGTGTCAATGAAGGTCGCTCCGAAGGATCCGGCGCGGCGGGGCTACCCGTAGGTTCGCCACCGCCCCTGCGCCCAGGCCTCTGCCTCAGGGGGGTCGTCGAAGTCGTCGTAGTCGTGGCCGTCGTAGTCCTGGTCACAGCCCGCCGTGCGGACGCCCCCGTCGTCGTAGTCGTAGTCGTCGTGGCACCAGCCGGGCGCGCCCCAGGGGGCTTGGCCGGCGGCCCTCGCCCCTTCCCTGCCGCGGGCGCAGGCTTGGCGGGCGCGCCACGCCCCTCGCCATGCCCACCGCCGCCCGCTCCGGGCGCAGGCTTGGCTGGCGCGCCGCGCCCCTCGCCATGCCCACCACCGCCCGCTCCGGGCGCAGGCTTGGCGGGCGCGCCGCGCCCCTGGCCATGCCCACCACCGCCCGCTCCGGGCGCAAGCTTGGCGGGCGCGCCGCGCCCCTTGCCATGCCCACCACCGCCCGCCGTCTGAAGATTCGGCCCGGGCTTGGGTAGCGCCGTCGGCGCGGGGGCCCCAACGCCCGCCGCGCGACCATAAGGCCACCAACCCATCGCCCCCTGGGCCGACCAAGTAACCATAACTGCCAAGTGCGCCATCAGGAAGCCCGCCGCCATGGCACCGCTCCGCCCCGCGCCAGCGACCCTGGGTCGCTAGCGCGAGGATGCCAGCAGTCCCCGGACTGCAGCACCGCGGTTGTGGCCGCCCCGCGGCCCCCCTGCCCACCCGAGTCCTGGCTCGAACTCGAGCCAACGACTACGGACCCAAAATGGCATGGCAAAGCCCCCGCTTCCCTACGCTTAACCTGCAGTCTACCAACATCACAGACTATACAAACCAATACAATATGCGAGGCGCGCGCGCGCTGGTGACCCGCGCGGGGCCGGGTCACCCGCGCGCGCGATGCATCCTGTATTGGTTTTATTCCATCGGAGGCCATGTTAAGGTGAAAACTTCAATTGTCGAAACCCAATGTAAATATTCATTCTCTGGGCCCAAGAGGCGGCCATATAAATGTAGAAAATATACAAACCAATACAATATGCGAGGCGCGCGGGCGCGCTGGTGACCCGCGCGGTGCCGGGTCACCCGCGCGCGCGCGATGCCTCCTGTATTGGTTTTATACAATCGGAGGCCATGTTAAGTTGAAAACTCAATGATCAAAACCCAATGTAAATATTCATTCTCTGGGCCCAAGAGGCGGCCATGCCAGCGTCAAATATACAAAACACAATACAATATGCGAGGCGCGCGGGCGCGCTGGTGACCCGCGCGGTGCCGGGTCACCCGCGCGCGTGCGCGATGCCTCCTGTATTGGTTTTATACAATCGGAGGCCATGTTAATATGAAAACTCAATGATCAAAACCCAATGTAAATTATCCCGGCAAAGCAACCTAACAGCGATGTGTAGGAGCATATCTGGAAACATTCCCCTTAAGATTCAGATGAGAATCCAGTTGTAGAATTGTGCTGTTCTCGCAGTCGTAGTCGCATTCGCGATGACAGTCGCAGTGGCAACGGCAGTCGCAGTCACAGCCTCAGCCTCAGCCTGCCTCAGCCTCAGCCTCAGCCTGCCTCAGCCTCAGCCTGCCTCAGCCTCAGCCTCAGCCTGCTTCAGCCTCAGCCTCAGTCTGCCTTCAGCCTCGGCGTCAGCCTCAGCCTGCCTCAGCCTCAGCCTGCATCAGCCTCAGCCTCAGCCTCAGCCTGCCTCAGCATCAGCCTGCCTCAGCCTCAGCCTCAGCCTGCCTCAGCATTCAAAATGTGGCCCGGGAATGGAGTTCTGGGAACTCGAAGAACACGAAGTGGCCTACAGTTGGCTCCGGGCATTCAAAATCATGCCCAGGAATGGAGTTCTGGGAACTCGAAGACCACGAAGTGGCCTACAGTTGGCTCCGGGCATTCAAAATCTGGCCCGGGAATGGAGTTCTGGGAACTCGAAGACCACGAAGTGGCCTACAGTTGGCTCCGGGCATCCAAAATGTGGCCCGGGAATGGAATTCTGGGAACTCGAAGAGCACGAAGTGGCCTACAGTTGGCTCCGGGCATTCAAAATGTGGCCCGGGAATGGAGTTCTGGGGACTCGAAGACCACGAAGTGGCCTACAGTTGGCTCCGGGCATTCAAAATGTGGCCCGGGAATGGACTTCTGGGAAGTCGAAGACCACGAAGTGGCCTACAGTTGGCTCCGGGCATTCAGAATGTGGCCCGGGAATGGAGTTCTGGGAGGTCGAAGAGCACGAAGTGTGTGACTGTTGGCTTAAAACGACTTCTGCGGCACCCTGTCCGGCACCCGCCCAGACCCCCCTGTGGAGTCATCTGCTGCTCTCTTTTGACCCTACTAGAAACCTATCAGAACAAGCTGTTAGGTAAATATTCATTCTCTGGGCCCAAGAGGCGGCCATGCCCATTTCAAATATAGAAAACACAATACAATGGGCGAAGCGAGCGCGGGCGCGCTGGTGACCCGCGCGGGGCCGGGTCATCCGCGCGCGCGCGCGCGATGCATCCTGCATTGGTTTTATACAATCGGAGGCCATGTTAATATGAAAACTCAATGATCAAAACCCAATGTAAATATTCATTCTCTGGGCCCAAGAGGCGGCCATATAAATGTGGGAAATATACAAACCAATGCAATATGCGATGCGCGCGGGCGCGCTGGTGACCCGCGCGGTGCCGGGTCACCCGCGCGCGCGCGATGCCTCCTGCGTTGGTTTTATACAATCGGAGGCCATGTTAAGTTGAAAACTCAATGATCAAAACCCAATGTAAATATTCATTCTCTGGGCCCAAGAGGCGGCCATGCCAACGTCAAATATAAAAAACGCAATACAATATGCGAGGCGCGCGGGCGCGCTGGTGACCCGCGCGGCGCCGGGTCACCCGCGCGCGCGCGCGATGCCTCCTGTATTGGTTTTATACAATCGGAGGGCATGTTAATATGAAACTCAATGATCAAAACCCAATATAAATATTCATTCTCTGGGCCCAAGAGGCGGCCATGCCAGCGTCAAATATAGAAAACACAATGCAATATGCGAGGCGAGCGCGGGCGCGCTGGTGGCCCGCGCGGGGCCGGGTCACCCGCGCGCGCGCGCGATGCATCCTGTATTGGTTTTAGACAATCGGAGGCCATGTTAAGTTGAAAACTCAATGATCAAACCCCAATGTAAATATTCATTCTCGAGGCCCAAGAGGCGGCCATGTAAACCTTGGCAGGTCTTAGCAGCATTTCCATTCCCCTCCGTTTGGGTAACTGGAAGAAATGGGCCGCCACCAATGGATGTACGCCCCCCGCCAGTCAAGCCGCGCCGAGGGTGCGACGGCGCCCGGGGGATGGGCAGATAGACGGACAGAAGATGCGCAGACGTATCGGTGCGACGGCGCCTGGGGGGATAGATGTAGATACATGGATACGCCGCGCCAGCCGAGCAAAGCCGACGGTGCGGCGGCGAACGCTTTTTGAATATTGACCAGAACGGAGATCAATACAGGGGGAACCCCCTTATTCTCTCTCTTCTGCGGGGGCCTCTGGAACCGAGCGCGGTCTCGTGCGCCTGGATATGCGTGCGACGGCAAGTGCCCTCTTTGTGCCGCCCCCGATAGCAATCAGCACAGGCTTTGGCACTGTGGACATGAGGACGCTGTCAAGGCTCGTGGCGATGCGGTTGGAGGAAATCAGAACCTCCTTCAGGAAGCCCGCGAGAGTGGAGATCGTCACTTGTGGGATGAACTTAAACTTGTGCACCCCGAAGCGTTCCATCCCCCTCCTGCCTTCAACCCTAACCCCACCTTGTACAACCCTAACAAGGAGGCTGTCTCATGGGGGTCCATAGACCTGCGAGGGTGCGAAGTTTGTTTGGATGGCTCTTGTGCCACGCATTCGGTGCGTGAGCTTAGCCGCGCTTCGTGCGCTTGGAATTTTCTTGGTCCTGGTGAGGGCGAAATCGTAGCGTATGCCCTCAGAACGGTCTGGGATCTGCTCCCGCAGACGTCGCAGGCGGCAGAGCACCAGGCCATGGCGTGCGCGCCCATCTTCGTGGAGCAATCGGGCACGCGTTACAACGATTGCATGACGGTGGTCAGTTTGTGCACGAGATCGCCGCAGCATCAAGTTGCGCGTCAGCATCGGTATGCTGGGATGTGAAGGGGAGCCCTGCTGCATGAGCATCCTGAATACGAGTGCGAGATAAGACGCACACACCTCCCCACCGCTCGCGTGAGTCGATAGATGCTCTTCCCCTAGCCGAGAAACGCATCGCGATTGGCAATTGGAACGCAGACCTCCTTGCCAAGTATGCCCTCTCCCTCCACCCCCAACCCTCTCAACGCGAACTGGATTTGTTGCAGGCTGGCCTCGACAAGCTAAAATTCGCGGCCAGTGTTGAAGCCAAGGTGCTGGCTGTTTTTCCCCCTTGAGAGGTTCGAGCGGAACAGCGTGGGGCCCAGATGTAGAATCCTCAGGTCTGGCGGCTGGCACCACTGGGAACCTCTGGGGGGGGGCCTTGCCAGGTGCCTGAGGTGCCTGTTTGCTTTCTCCCGACCCTGACACCCGAGCCATGCTGGGTTGTCAGGGCGCCAACAAGACTTGGAAAGGGATTCTAGATCTTACGAAGGGCCATATGTTGGCCCAGACCCGAGCGTCGCAGAGAGATAAGGTGTCCACCAGGTTTTTCTGTACGACGTGTGGAGCCTACTCCTCGCGTGGGTGCTATAAGCTAGGACAGGAATGTATTGGAAAGCGGCCGCCTGGTGCAAAGACCACGCTCCCCCGCATTCT